TGGGAAGATAGCAAGTTAGTAAATTGCTTGGCTTAAAATCTTGAGGACCAGTTGTCAACTTAGAGGAAGGCAGAAGAGAAAGCTGAAAGTACAGATTCAAGCTGCAAGCTGGGAGCCAGCGACCTAGCCTGTTCTGGCTCTGCTATAAAGCCCAAAGAACACCAGGCTATGTAATATACAAACATAGTTGGCATGGGGGAGGCCCAGAGGCCACAGGCAGACTATTGAGCTCTTACTTAACTTTTCTTTGTCATGATGGATGCTACAGCATTAGGACAATGGGTTCCCAAAGTCTAGGACTGAAGCTAGAAAGGAGCAAGGACATTCTTCAGTCTCTTAGGATTCTACTGCTTTCTTCTGGAGGGCATCCCGTGTGTGCTCTGCTGCACTGAGCCTCCAGATAGGAGCAGAGCACAGAGCAGCATTGCCAGAGTTGTTTGTGGCTCATAATATATGTGTGTGATATATGTATAATATATAGTATATATAATTACACACACACAGAGTATATATTTGTTTTTCCGAGATAGGGTTTCTCTTTGTAACAGCCCTGGCTGTCCTAGAACTCACTTTGTGGACCAGGCTGGCCTCAAACTTGCAGAGATCCGCCTGCCTCTACCTTTAATCTGCTGGGATTAAAGGCGCACTACCATCTCCCAGCTTTTTTTATGTTAAGTGTATAAGTGCTCTACATGTATGCCTGCATGCCAGAAGAAGGCATCAGATCCTATTATATAGATGGTTGTGAGCCACCATGTGGTTGTTGAAATTGGACTCAGGACCTCTGGAAGAGCAGCCAGTGTTCTTAGCTGCTTAGTCATCACTCCAGCCGCCCCCCACCCCCACCCCCACCCCGAGCTGTTTCTGAAGTCAGAGGTAGCCATGCTCATCTCAGACCAAATGCCCTTTTCCTCTGCATTCAGGGTATCTGGGTTGTATCTAGGGAAGAAATCTACCCCAGAGGTCATGTGGAGGGCTGAAGACTATGCCCACAGTCTCCAAGCTATCTGAGTTGTCAAAGGGTTCCAGATTCGGTGTTAACCAACAGAAGTCTCCTCAGGAGTCCTTTGTTGATGTCGCCTCCACTTAAAAACTGGCTGTGGCTGAAGGGGGAGGCAAGCAGGAAGCTGCAGACCGACGGCTGGATGAATTCTTGTGTGGTTGCCTCAGACCTGCCCTCAAGCATCCTTCTTGAGGCTGAGGCCTAGAAGTCAGGGATTTTGACTACTGAGTGAAGCCCAAGGTTGCTGGAATATGAGGCATAAAGGAACAGAACAGGAGATGTCTCTGTAGGGGCAGCAAGATAGATGAGCTGAGGAGCAGAGGAATGTTCAAACTGTGACCTGTTGCCATTATAGTTATCTCTGTCAACTTGACACAGCCCAGAACCACATGGGAGAGAGTCTTAATGAGGAACGGTCTATATTATTGAATTGTCCTGTGAGCATGTCTGTGAGGGATTGTCTTGACATAGAAAACAGCCCCAGTGGCTCTTTGCACCAGTCCCTAAGTCCTGAACTGGGTAAAAGTAGAGAAACCACGCTGAGTACCAGCAAGCAAACATTGAACAGGTTTGTAGCCAGTTCTTTTTGTTCTTGGCTGTGGATGAAGCTCCTATTTGACTTCCCCACAATGATGAACTATATCCTGGAATAGTAAAATGAAGTAAGCCCCTATCTCTGCCAATTCGCTTTTTGTCAAGGTATTTTAACACAGCACCAGAAATAAAACAGAACAATTGCTAAGAGGCTTCATTTCTGAGGGCCAGATCAAGACTCAAGGATGAGCACTCAGCGGGGGTCTGGAAACCTTGGGCATTGCTAGTCACAGACAGCCCAGGAATCAGCTAATCCCCACAGCTGGCAAGTGGACTTGGGGTGCTGAATTGCTGAGGCAATCCTTAGATCCAAGTCCATGGAAAACTGGGTGAGGGATGCTTTGATTCTAGAAAGGCCACCTTCCCAGGGATGTCCACAAAAGAGCAATAAAGGAGATATTTCCCAATGGAAAGGCCCTGGAGAAGTCGTCCTGCTATCTCGAAGGAAGCGCTATAGATCGGAGTCCATTGTTTTCTGTCTTATTCCAAAAGGAAGAGTGTTGGGTTTTTGTTTTGTTTTATTTTGTTTTATTTTTTTTTAAGAAACAAAAAACTATGGTCTAATATCCCTTCACTATTTTATATTGGTTATGTAGGGGTGAAAAATCAGCCTTTCTGCCACATACTGCAAAATCTTAAGGACACTTTTTGACATGACCAAGAATCGCACATCACTAAGGGACTAGGACAGGTAAAGAAATTGTGTAACTGTTTTGTCTTTCACCGGAAAATGGCTGTGACTGCTTTGGTTGGACCCGGGATTATTACTACACTGTTAGGCAGACACAGTTTCGGAATTGTAAATTTGTCAATAAAAGCTTAGGTGGATGCAATAAATGTAAAATGTGCTAGGTGGATACTACTTATTGTCCATTATCTTTCCCTTTGCAGAGCTATTTCTCCCCTCCCTCACAGACCTGGAAAAGTAGCCCAGTTTTCCATTTTAGAGGTGGACATATGCTCAATACTAAGGAAAATCTTCCCTAGGATTTTAGAGCAAGCAGTAGTGAGATCAACATGTAAATGGAAGCAGAATCAAGAGGTGGAGACATTACATCGTCATTTAAACCCCTAGATCCAATAATGCCTGAAGGCAGCGATTTTAGCCTTTGATCTAGTGTTTATGCAAGCTATTTAATTTCCTAATGACTTAAAGATGTTTGTGTTTAGGTTTTGATACTTGCAATTGAAAAGGGCCAGACTATTACATAAACACACAAACAGACACAACACCATGTTGCTCAAACTCAGACATTCTACAAATCTTCCATTACCTTACCAAGGGTTAGTAAACCTATTGTCTAAGAGACCAGAAAAATGTTATAAGCTTTGTGAACCACATAAGACTCTGTATCATCATTTTCTTTTGACAACTCTTTAAAAAATATAAAATGGGGACTGGAGATATGGCTCAGTAGTTAAAAATGTGCACTGCTCTTGCAAAGGACCAAGTTCAGTTTGTAGCACCCTCAGCAGGCAGCTGGCAAATACCTGTAACTCCAATTCCAGGAACTCCAATGCCCTCTGCTGGCCTTTACGGCACCTGCAGTCATGGGCACTTCTCTGCAGAGACATGCACACATATCTATAGTTTAAAAAAATAACAAAATCTGGGCTGGAGAGATGGCTCAGAGGTTAAGAGCACTGGCTGCTCTTCCAGAGGTCCTGAGTTCAATTCCCAGCAACCACATGGTGGCTCACAACCATCTGTACTGAGATCTGGCACCCTCCTCTGGCGTGTGGGCATACATCAAGGCAGAATGTTATATACATAATAAATAAATCTTTGAAAAAAAATAACAAAATCCTTGAATTTTTTTAAAAAATCATTCTTAAAAAATCATTCTTAATTGTTATGCCATGAAAAATATGTCATAGGTCAGGTCTGGCTGACACACCATCGTTTGCCAGCACTTGACCTAAATTGCATCAACACCTGCAAATTGGGGATCTAGAGTCTACCAGGCCCTTGCTCATACCCTATAGCATGAAGTAAAATAAATTCCATATTGTTTCGAATGCTTTGACATGACTCAGTACTGAGTTAAGGTTCGGGTAGATTTAGGAATGATAAGAGGCTCTTGACTTATCTGTAATGTAACAGAATCTAAAATAAGGGATTATTTCTTGGCTACAAATACCTTCTCAAAATTATGCAATCACTCAGAGACTTTGAATATCCTAGTTCCTTCTTGTTGACTCTTCACTTTAATCTCTAGGAAGACTTTCCGGAGCTCTCCCAACATTAGAGCAGGCTGTAGCTTTCTTGCTGGTATAGGCCACATGTGTCCCTCCATTGTGTGCTTTAATCATCCGTGTTTCCCCTCAACTCCTGGGACTTGGGAGAAACTTGAGCCCTAGAACAATGCCTAACACCTAGCACTGAGAACTGTCTGCTTTTAGGTGAATGCCTGAAGTCTGTTTTGTGTGTGTACATATATGCAGAGACCAGAGTACAACTTCAGCTGTCATTCCTCAGGGGTCATCACCTAGCTTTTTGGAGATAGGGTCTCTCATTGTCCTCGAATTCACCATTCACGAATTCACCTGGGATGACTGGTCAGTGGGCCTCCCAGACCCACTTGTCTCTGTTGCCCCAGTGCTGAGGGTACGAGAGCATGCCTGTTTTGTTTGCTTGTTTGTCTTAATGTGAGTTCTGAGGAATTGACCGCAGGTCCTTGGGCTCACAAGGTAAACACTGTACTGTCTGAGTTATGTCTCTAAGTCCATGAATATCTTTTCGTTTGAATAGGCAGGTGTTGTATATCTCTACCTGTACCCGAGGCATTTGTCTGTGGGTTAGCACTATGCGGGTGTATGTGTGCCTCAGGACCAGTCCCTGTCCCATCTGGCAATTGTTTGTGGATGTAATCCACAGCTAACCTAGCAATGTTGACAAATCTAGTTTTAATTCTCATTACTTCCAAAAACCAGTCAAAGACAGAGGAACAGGGCTGTGTGTGGGGGGGGAACAGGTTTTCTTCAAAAGAGCCTAGAAGGAATTATCTTCTTTCCCTCCCACATCGTTTTATGTCCCAGCGTTATCTATCGGATGGCAGGCCTCCAGTGCTGGACCAGAGCATCCCCTATTCGGAGGGGCTTCAAACTAAGTTGATCCATGACTTGGTGGTGGGAGTGTAAATTATTCCCCCGGGGGAAAGTGTATTCAAGGCCTGGCAGGCCCAGGGAGGGCTGACCAAGACAAGTTGAATCGTGGTATTCTGAGCTGAACCTTTTGCCCATCTCACAGAAGCAGCAGGAAGCACCACCATTGATCAGCTTTATATGGCACCCACTGTATACAACAGACAGACAAGGACAGATGGACAGAGCACACACCACTTCTAAGCTGAACACGGCTCACCATCTAAAAGCACCTCGGGTAAGCACACATGAGACGCACTTGCATAGGAAAGATGGACTTTTTAAAGGAATGAATTAGTATTTTGGCAAAACATCTACTTCCCTCCCGGGTCCTGGGTAAAGAGGGACCTCTAATTCTGAAGCTTCTACATAGATAAAGTATCCCCTCCTCCACGGCAGTATTTACAGCAGCAAGCCTTCCGTGTCTGTGTCACAGCCCTCGGCGTGTGACTCAAGTCTACTTCACAGGTGGACAAACAGACTAAGAGACAGAAGGTGGCCTGAAGCAAGGGGACACTGGGGCAGTCACAAGGGGAGGGGAACGGGAGGTGTCTCAGCTTAGCCAAAGGTGTGGCCTTGGTCTACCTGGACTGGGAAGGAAAAGGCTCCCTCTTTCTTCCTGCCTGGGGAAGCTCTGACTCCCCAGGAAAGGGCATCGTGAAGGAAAGGCAGATTCCCACTTCTGATGGCCGGGGCCCTCATAGCATAGCAAAGAGCAGCGCAGGCCTGAATCCTCCTGAGGCCTCCTCAGGGATACTATCTGAGTTTTGGGACTGTGGATTCGCTGCTTCCATAACCATCTTGTTGCTGGACTATGAGCCTAGGCTTCACATCCTTTGTCATTTCTGTTTAAGGGCAGGGAAGGGAGTAGCTTCAGAAGGAATGAGACACAGGACAGTCTTCCACAGCCGCCTCTGCCTAGGCTGGGGCTGGCTATTAAGGGTCTCCTTCACCCTGTCTCCTAGGGATAGTTAAAGGCAGCTTTTATGAGACTCTATACTGTCTTTTTGTCTCTCTTCTGTTTTCTCTTTGTTTTAATTTATAGATATATATATATATATTTAGATATTCTTTAAAAAAGCAATAGTCCTTTGGTCCCTAAACACTAAGGAATGATATGATTCTGAACAAAGTAAGTTTGGGCTTCCCTTGCTGAGAAGCCCTTGGCACCCCCAAGGCCCTCTGCTGGTTCCCTTAGATCAGTCGATCCTCAGCCAGCACTGGTTGCCCTGCCAGCTTGATCACTCCGTGGAACAACCCACACGATGAGTGGCCTGAGCCCCAGGCGCCAGCCCTGGGTCTGGTCCACCTCCGTTTGCTGCCACTCCTTCCGGTAGGGCCACTCCAGCATTTCTGTGCTTTTCTTTTTCCTTTCTTCTCACTCTTCAGTTTCTGTTGTTGGTATTGATTGATAAGGAAACAGAGGCGGGAGGAGGCAAAGGTCACTGAGGGTAAGAAAAGAGCAGCCTGTCCCCTCTGTGACTTCTCAGCTAAGTGTCAGGGTTTCTCTTCCTGGCAGCATCCTTGCCACAGAAGCTAGCCCTTGCCTAGATCCTAGGCAGATCATTGTAGCAAACGTTCCACAGTTTCTGGGGCAGCTTGAGTGAGCTGAGGCCAAGGGGACCTGCAAGCACAGCACAGCTCTCCAGGTGGCAGGCAGTCTCCTGCGGCCCTTCCTGAAGCCTGGGCCTTGTCACCATGCTGCTCATTGCCCACTAAGCCCTGTAGGTCTGCCTCTTGAGGCTCTTTACTTCTCTCCCTCCATCTCCCGTTAGCTGCTCTCCTCTTCATTCAAGCTGCCCAGTGGTTCTATCCCCTTCACTAAAGTCAGGACCTTTGGCCTATGGGATCCTCAAGATATGAACCAGACCCCATTTTCCACAGCCCCCTCCCCATATAAGCTCACTGCTCCTGTGGCTTCCTACTGTTGTCCCTAGAATAGAATGGGCTGAATTTTCCTAGAAATCGTCTCTCCAAGACTGGACGCACCAAGGTCATCTAATTCACCTTGAACTTTGGGTTGAAAAAAAAAATTCCAGTATCTGTCCCCCTTATCCCTGGCTCTTCTCTTTATTTCTGGATTTCTCAGATGGCAGTATCCTGATATCATAAAGTTGCCAGGGTCTTGTGACCCTGGTCCCGTTTGCCTGACCTCCATCGAAGACTCACCTGTCTGTGACTGACCAGTGAATGCAGATCAGTAAGGCCTGTTGGCATCCTTAGGTCTCTTTAGCTGGACCTTGAGCCTCTTCATGCCGATTTGAAAGCCATTCATGGCCTGGATGGCAGTCTGGGCACTGGTTGGATTGTCAAAACTAACAAACCCTGGAGGGTGTGGGCAGACAGGTTAGCTGGGAATCCAGCTTGCCAGGATCTCCTTTCTCTAATTTCCAGACTAGGTCCATCACATAGGCAGGCACCTTTCTATTGCTTAACTATGTGAGCATCAATGCATACATAGTATAGACACATACGTAATAGAGGCAAATCATTCCTAAAGGTGTGATTTCCAGAAGATGGGAAAGAAGTCTGTGTGGGTCAGAGTATTTCCCTGGCTTGGCTTGGCTGCTGTGCTTCACTCCTCCCAGTCTGGTTTCAGATCTGCAGCTGGGGTCTGACGGCAACTCTTTATTCCAAACCCATCCAAACTCACCCTGCTTTGGACAAACTCTAAAGCTGAAACCTTCCCGATCTCACACATTCTAGTTATCCAAGATTCTCAGGTGGTCTGAAACAAGGCTTTCTGTACTCACACTTTGTCCTGTAACACTCAGTCTCTGGAAGCCTTATGGGCCTCCTGAGGCACTGGGATGGATCAGCTCACCAAAACACTTGCTCTGGTTGGTGGCACGATCCACAAACACTTTGGCAGAGACAACGGCTCCAAAGGGCAGGAATGTCTGTATGAGTTCTGCATCCCCAAACTCCTGAGGCAGGTGATAGATGAAGAGGTTACAGCCTTCGGGGCCTGTAGGAACAGTAGCAGGTTTGCTCAGGGGAAGAATCCTCAGGGGCAACCCCCACACACAAACCCCTGCTCTCCAGCCCCCAGTCCCTCACCTTCTCTTTGTTGCTGAGGCAGAGCTGAAGGCTGCTGGGGAAAAGCTGTGCTCACTGGGGCATAGGCCGAGGGATAGGCTGCTGGAGACAGAGGTGGGAGTGGGCAGTGACCCCCAGGAGCCATTTCCCAGACAGAGCCCCATCTGCCTGACCAGCTCTGACAGATTCAACCCAGTTCACTATAACCCTTGACCCAAGACAGGTCGCTGGGGGTTGGGGCTGGGGACTGAACAGGATGGAAGAGTTGGCTCCTCAGAACAGAGCCGAACCCTCCCACAAATCTCCCTCTTCCTGCCTGAGGCCCTTTAATACCCCACACCCACACACCCGGGCTGGGCAGTGCCAAGTGAAACCTGCATATTGGTGTATCCCAGCGTAGGCTTGCTGCAGGGGATCAGCCACACCGGGGCTCTGGGCTGGAGAGAGAGGGGGCGCAAGGCCCACGATGAAGGCAGGTAGGCAGGGGCCAGGGGAGAGACCCTGGGTGGAAGTGTGGGAGGTGGAGGACCGCTATGAAAGGCAGCAGGGAAGATGGGGGAATTCCTTCCCCCCAGGCATGGCCTTGCCTGGAAAACCTGGCTTCCCATTCCATTTCCAGGAGGTTTGGGTCAGCAGGGTAGGGTGACCCACCTGGGTAAGGGGAAAGCCCGTTGTTATAGATCGAATCGGAGCCTGGCTGTCCATTGGTCTGGGGGGTCAAGGAGCCGAATCCATTGACCCCCATGGGCGCTGGAAGGCCGGGGAGTGCACCAGGACCACCTCCACCAGGTGATGCGTTGGCTATAGGTGGAGATAAGAGGGTCAGGGAGCAGTACTTCATGGGCCCTCCCAACCATGGTTTCAGTTTCTTGGGTCTCTAACCTGCTGTAGGCAATAGCGGTGCAGCCACCAGGCTGAAGGCCGCCACGTGCTGCATCTGGGCGGCCACCGCGGCCACCTGGCCTAACCCAGGACCCTGCGCCGCCGCCAGTAATGCTGCCTGGTGTTGCAAGATCTTGGGGGAAGGAAGAAGGGCATCTGTAGAGGCCTCAGTGGCTGGCAACTGCCTGATCTCCCGACACAGAGCCAGGTCCTATTCACTCTGGGCCGGAGGCAGGCAGGCACCTACCGCAGTGGTGTAGGCGCCACAGGCCCCGAGAGGCAGTGGCGCTGGATGGAAGGCGCCCAGCTGGCCAGCCATTTGCTGCATCCTCCGCAGCGCGCGCTCCCGGTCGGTGTCTGCCAGCTTCACCACCAGGCTGGATGAGGCGCCCTTGGCAAAGGAAGGGCGTGGTGACCTATACTGGCCCTGATTGAGCTCTGAATCCAGCACCTTCCCCAGCCAGCCCTTGCTCCGGAACGCGGAGAGCAGATTCCCACCCCGCTGGCCTCACCCTCAGCCCAGGTCCCGCTCTTACCGTCATTGTCCGGCTACCGTGCAGTCCCTGGATGGCAGCTTGAGCTTCCCCTTGACTCCCGAATTTCACAAAGGCACAGCCTGGTGCAGGAAACAAGAATGGAACGACTCAGGCCACAGGAGTCAAAGGGTAAGAAAAGGTCACCCGGAAAACCCAGGGGCAGTTCAAGTCACCTTTACTGGTACCATCAGGACTCCGCAGGACAGTGCACTCCTCGATATGGCCGAAGGGCTGGAACAGACGTCTGACATCCTCCTCACCCTGCTGCTTGCCCAACATCCCTACAAACAGCTTCCGGTCCTCTGGGGACAAAGCCAGGAATGACCTGGGGACCCCAAGTGTTCCTAGACTCCCCAGAGTCGCCTGCAGATCTTGGGAAGGTGGCTCACCAGTCTTGCTCTAGGAAGACTTGTAGGGAGTGAGAAGGCAATGGGACTCTAAAGCTGGGTGTCTGTAAGGGGCAGGGTGGCCTACAGGTCTTAAGGGAAGAAATTCAGCTGAGATTTCTACCATGAAACCTGGGTCCTCCAGAAGCTCACAGAGACCCATTGCTGCCCATGTGGGAAGTGACACAGTCTATCTGATGCCTTTTAGGGGTGGAGCCTCTACACAGCATGTTATATTTTGACCCTTTTTATTGTGGACTTGGGCAATGCTACTGGAGACTCAGCATGCTGGAGAAAGGGTTGCTTGACTATGACCTTACTGGTCAGCCTGATGGCAACGGCCAAATCAATGCTCTTTCTTGCTCAAATTAAGGAGGGTTCTGTCAAACAAACAAATAAATTACAAACAAACAAAAACAAAACAAAACAAAACAAAAAACCAACACAGAATACAGCACAGCTGTCCTACTCTACTGTCTTAGTCTAAGATACTCAGCACTGGACTGGTGAATCCTTACCCCCAGCACCAAATCTAACCCAAAACCTACAGAGAAGGCTTGGTTTTCTGAGCTTCTAACATAGTATTTCCCCACTGTGCCTGCTGAGTCTCTGAGCCCCTTTCTTAATTTCCAGACCTCCCCACCCCCATCTCCTTGCTTAGCTTCCAGGGTTCTCCCTGGGCCCTGTGACCTCCTCTTTGACTCCTCATGTTCTCGTGCCCTGATCCCTCCTCTGTTGTGTTTATGCCTTGGAGAACACATTCCCTCGATAACTTAGATGATCATCTGAAAACAAGGGATCTCTCCATGCACTCACATTTCCTGTGGGGGTGGCAGAGAAAGGGACAGGATTGGAAGCTGAGCCTCTGTTCCCTGGGGAAAGTTAGAGGGCTTGGATTTGAACCTGGGATTAGCTGTACATCTTTCAGGTCAGACCTCTGCAGCACTATCTAGGAAACTGGGATTGGGAGGATAGGACCAGGGACCTACTGTTAGAGTCTGCATTCTGTCTCTTTCCAAGAAGGCCTCTGAATTAGGGGTGGGGAAAGAAGGGTTCCTTGGGAATCAGGCATCATTAAGATCCCAGAGCTCAGAAAAACAAACAAACAAACGAACAACAAAAAACCCGGCTCCTAAACCCCTTTGCTACCTCACAAGTTTACATCCTCGTAAGACGATGGATTTTGCTTCTGAGGTGTTAGTGAGAGAATTGAGCCAGGGGAACAGATCCCTGTTTTCTCAATCTCTTAAAAAAAAAAGTGGTGAAATACATTGTTTCAGTAAAAATATTAAGATGGTGCTAGTGAGATGACTCAGTGGGTAAAAGCACTTGCTGTCAATGATGAGCCTGATTCTATCTCTCTCACGTGTGTGTGTGTGTGTGTGTGTGTGTGTGTGTGTGTATAAAATCTCATGAACCTAAGTTCTATTCTTGGAACCCGCATAGTGGAAGGAGAGTACTGACTTCCACAAGTTGTCTCTGAACTCCACATACATGCTGTGGCACACACACACACACACACACACACACACACCCCAATCAATCAATGTAATAAAATATTAGGGTGAAAGTAAAGATGTAAGAGAAAAGCAGCAATGCCTGGACTGAAGCCAGAAAAGGGAGGTGAAATTTTCCCTGTGCAATCCAAGGAAAGTCCTCTGAAACCATTAAAAGAAGATAGAGGGTAGGGTTCTGGATAACCCAAGAAGACAGGAAAGAGGAAGGGGTATGCAAGCCACTGAGCAACATCAAAGATGAGGCTCAACCGTCCAGGAATGGAAGGAGTTGGAAGGTAGCACCAGTGTGGATTTGAGTCTTGCATAAATATTATGAAATTCATGATTTTGTTCTAACATTGACGAACAGGCCTCAGATGGTCAGGGAAATGTCCAACATCAAATGTCAAGAAGTCTATGCTATTGTTCTGAGCTGTGACATTAAAATACGCCCATGTCTGCAAAAGACCTGGAAGTGTCTGGAGAAGATCCCAGGATCTTCACAGTCCCAAGGGAGCTTCATGGTACTTTAATTTATAGTAGAGCTGTGTCACTGATAGGATTTGTACACTGTCATGCCTCCTGGGCCAGCATCCAGGTAGCCCTATGTGAAAAGAGACCACAAGCTTAGATGAAGCCCCTAACATAGTAAAGAGGTTGTGTGGACAGGAACATTACATTCCTTCATCTAAACTTTATGTTGGTGTTTTCTGTCCATGGTGGAGTGTGGGACAAAGGTGGCCTCAGCACAGCTATCACAGTTCTCCTTGTCCCGATAAGGAGCTCTTGATTTAGAATTTCCATCATGGCATTAAGCCTATACTTCTGGACCACTGAGGTGCAAAAACGCCATCTTTGAAAAGAGCACTCATTATGGGCTGGGTTCTCTACCTGTTTCCAAGGTAACACTTGAATCTTGGAACTTTCTCTGATACTTTACAAGGACTTAACATTGCACAGGATGATGAGCTGGAACTTCGGGCAATCCAGAAATAGTGGGATAATTTCATGAGACTTGATCAAAGACAAGCCTGGGCCCTCTTGTGTAGCCTCCTGACTGACACTAAGACTCTAAGGCATACTGATTCCCCTTCAGATAGAAATGATGGTCCTGACAGCCCAGATAAATCAGTTTCCTCTAATCAAACTCTACTAGTTTGCTTAAAAGAGAGTGCTGTAAGAGGGAGGACTCAATGTCTGACTGGGGATGTAGCTCAGTGGTAGAACACTTACATAGCATGGCACAGCCCTGGAGTTCAGTCCCAGCACTTAAAAGCATCTAAGTAAGAATACCCAATGGGGCTGCAGAAGATCCAAGTTTGATTTCTAGCATCCACATGGTGGTGGTTCAACATCTTCCTCTGGTCTCTGTAGACCCCAGGCACAAAATGGTGCATAAACGTATATGCAGACAAAACACCCATACACATAAAAAATAGTAACATCAAGAGCATCCCATGGAAAGTTCCTAAAGACACTATCTTCTATCTTCCTGGGGAGTTCTGTCTTCCCGGGGTGGAAGAAAAAGGGAGGAAACATCAGTGGGGAGTTGAGATATAGTTGGAAAGCCACAGAGTTCAATGATAAAGGCCTGGAATGTAGCTTACTTGGCAGAATGCTTGCTCAATATGGGTTTGGTCTCGAGCGCTTCATGAATCAGGCATTGTGGCACACAATTGTAATCCCAGCACTCAGGGGGCCAGGGCATTCAAGATCATCCTCAGTTACACAGAGGCCAGCCTGGGCTACACAAGACTATGTCAAAAATGAAAAGACTTACCCAGTTGGGGCGCTCACCTTTAATCTACACTCAGAAGGCAGAGGCAGGAAGATCTCTGTGAATTCAAGGCCAGCCTGATTTACATAGGGAATGCCAGACCAATCATGGTTACAAAGTGACACTCGGTTAAAAAAAAAAAAAGTTTTATCTTCAGTGGGCAAAGAGCTGTGTGGTGTTGTGGTAGGTGGGGACAGATGGTCAGCTGGATGCCAGCCTGGGTTACATGAGACACCGTCACAAAAATCAAAACAAACAAACAAACCAGCTAATCAACTAAACAAACAAAACCAACCAATAGGCAAATATCTTAGATTAATATTTCTACAAAGACATACCAATGAATGAGAAGCACATGACATTTCTTAAAACGTTAGGTCATCATTAGGGAAACAGAAGTCAAAATTAGGAGACACCAGAGACTGGGATGTTGGTGCAGGGAGGAAGATAAAAAGGCACAGCTGCCATGGTGCAAATAGCATCAGGTTCAGTGGCACTCCTTTAACCCCAGCACTTGGGAAGCAGAAGCAGGTGGCTCTCTGTGAAATCAAGGCAAGCCTGTCTACAAGGGAGTTCCAAGCCAGTAAGAGTCACACAGTAAAACCCTGTCTCACTGCCCTTCCTCAAAAGATGTTAATAGCAGCCCCCAAGAAAATAAAAGCAGAATTACCATATGATCCAGAATGACCTTCTTTGAAGTATTTATGGCAAAGTATTAAAAGTTTTGTACTTTTTTCCAAAATTATTTTTATTTTTAATAAGCATTAATAATTTTACATATTGATGGGATACAATTTCATATTTTGCTGTATACAGTGTGGAATGACTAAATTAAGCTGATTAACATATTCATCACTTTAAGCTAATTAACATGTATGTTCATCACTTTACTTGACTTTTTATGGTAAATTTAAAAATTCTTTTTAGCCGGGCGGTGGTGGCGCACGCCTTTAATCCCAGCACTCAGGAGGCAGAGGCAGGCAGATCTCTGTGAGTTCAAGACCAGCCTGGTCTACAAGAGCTAGTTCCAGGACAGGCTCCAAAACCACAGAGAAACCCTGTCTCGAAAAACCAAAAAAAAAAAAATTCTTTTTAAAAGATTTATTTTTTTTTTTTTTGTTGGTTTTTCGAGACAGGGTTTCGCTGTGGCTTTGGAGCCTGTCCTGGAACTAGCTCTTGTAGACCAGGCTGGTCTCGAACTCACAGAAATCCGCCTGCCTCTGCCTCCCGAGTGCTGGGATTAAAGGCGTGCGCCACCATCGCCCGGCTTAAAAGATTTATTTTATTTCTTAAATATCTACCTATCTATTTATTTATTTATTTATTTTGAGACAGGGTATCTCTATATTGTCCTAGCTGTCCTGAAACTCGCAATGTAGATGAGGCTGGCTTCAAACTCATGGAGATCTGCCTGCCTCTGCCTCCTGAGTGCTGGGATTAAAGGTGCTGCCTCTCCTGGCTTTGTGGATTTTTTGTTATGTATTTTTTCTTTATGTATATGTGTGTACCTGCTTTCTGTAAGTATGTGCACCATGTGCTTGCAGGCCAGAAGAAGGCATCATATGGGATATAGTGCTGGGAAGTAAACTTGGGTCCTCTGCAAGAGGAGCAAGTGCTCTTAACTGCTCAGCCCGCTCTCCAGC